ATTGCAGGTCTTGTTTGTATGTACAGCAAATGTAGTAGATACGATTCCGAGTCCTCTGCTAGATAGAATGGAAGTGATTACTCTCGCTGGATATACCACTGATGAGAAAATGCATATTGCTAGAGACTATTTGGTGAAAACCACATGCAAAGATTGTGGCATTAAGCCTGAACAGGTCTCACTCACAGCCATTGGTCTTCATTTTTGTGTCCCATTTTCTGTTTTTAGCCTATGAGATATTTTCTCAAGATGTTTATACTCTCACCAGGCTGTTGTGAGCGATGCAGCTCTTCTTTCATTGATAGAAAACTACTGCAGAGAAGCAGGAGTTAGAAATCTTAAAAAGCATATTGAGAAGATTTACCGTAAGGTATGTAGCTAAGAAGTCGCATATCTTTTTGCGAGTCATAAACTATTTACTAGAAGTATTTGACCTTTTTTGACAGATTGCTCTTAAGCTAGTACGCCAAGGAGCATCCACTGAAGCACCTGCAGTTTCGGTTGATGTTAGTGATACTAAATCTTTAGCCAAGACCGATTTAGAGGTTAAAAGAATGACATTGGCGGAATCAACCGAATCAAAAACTAAGCAGAGAGGAGGGGTAGCTAAAACGGTTGTGATTGAAGAATCAAACTTTGCACATTATGTAGGCAAACCACTTTTCCACGCAGAGAAGATCTATGAACAGACACCAGTCGGGGTTGTAATGGGTCTAGCTTGGACATCCATGGGTGGCTCGCCATTGTACATAGAGACTACATTTGTAGAAGAAATAGAAGGCAGAGGCTGTCTTCGTATAACGGGTCAGCTTGGGGATGTGATGAAGGAAAGCGCACGGATTGCCCACACTGTCGCTAGAAGAATCATGCTCGAGAAAGAACCCAAGAACCGGTTTCTTGCAAACTCCAAGCTTCATTTACATGTTCCTGAAGGAGATACACCAAAAGACGGTCCAAGCGCAGGCTGCACCATGATCACTTCGTTGCTATCACTTGCCATGAAGAAGTCTGTTAGGAAAGATCTTGCAATGACCGGAGAAGTAACTCTAACCGGTAGAATTCTTCCAATTGGCGGGGTAAGTCACACACCACACTACAATTACTCTGTTTTAGCCTTTTAGTTACCCAATTTCTATTATGTTCATTGCAATATATAAATCTCTATGTTTCTCAGGTCATGGAGAAAACTATGGCTGCAGTATGAAATCAAGTCAAGACTATAATATTCCCGAAGGCTAACCAGGCAGATTTTGATGAGCTAAAGGAGAATGTGAAAGAATGTTCATTTCGTGGATGAATATGAGCAAATATTCGAATTAGCATTCAACTATGACCACTAGAAGAAATCTGACAATTTCTCACTTGAGATCTTCACCTCTTGTTGTTTTATATCAGTGCTTCATATATTCTCTAGGCTTATCTTCTTTTAACTCTTCGTGGTTTATTTAACTTGACCACAAGATGAAATGTAATTTTAAGAGCCAGGGATTCTGTAATAATTTTCTACTAATTAGAGTAATTAATATAGGTGGTTGGATTTTTTTGAGTATTAGCAAGCAAAACGCTAATCATGAAATATTTTGTTGCTAAATCGAAACACCTTTTCGATCACTTTTCTTGTGAAATGGTTATATTTCTAACAACATTGCCCACATTTATAACCTTTTTATAACCTACAAATTTGAGATTTTTTAGGAAATACATTTATGCCCGCGTTTTCAAGAGATTATGTTCCCAAATCTTCCATCGTCAGGGGAAAACAAAAACTTAACATAAATTGTTGAGTTCTGACCAAAATAAATATCGTTCCAAAACTTATCAGTATTTAATACAAAGAGTCAAGACACGACTCTCTTAAAAAAAAACAATTTTTGGTAATTTCTCTCTTTTTTTTTGGTAATTTCTCTTTTTAGTCCTAGGTAGAGATTATGGATATCTCTTTATAGTTTTTTTGCAAATATAAGTGCATGCAGGTTGATCAATGAGTACACACACAGAAAACATATTTCAATCGGATTATTGG